GAGGTGTAAGGGAAGTATTTGTTAGCGATCTCCCAATCTGATATAAGATCGATATTGGGCAAAAAAAAATTATGAACATAAAAAATAATATTGAATTATTTTGACCTGTACCTGAAAATAAACACAATGTTTTTATCTACAGTTTATGTAACCCATTGCTTGATATTCAATGGGTCAGTTATTTTTATACCGTTTGTCTTTTCTAACAGCCCACACTAAAAAAAAGGTAATAAAAGTATGTGTTATTCATACTTATTAGGTTAGTAATGGTCAAAAAGTAAAGGTTCAATATCAGTATAATAAACAAAATCGAAAGGTTTTATTTGAATATCCCCACTTTTTTTTTTATAGCATCTAATGTTATTAGTCAATCAATATTAACTGAGCAACCTTAAGTTTTTAGAGCCCAAATATTTAAAACCAGTGCTTAATTTAAATGTTTTGTATCTTTGGCTTTTGTTTACAAAAATATTTACTAAATAAAAGCATTAAAATTGCTTCAGTATCAGTCTGAAATGATACCAGTAAGAGTTTAGTTGTTTTATTGTTTTTTTTTGTTTGTTTTTTTTTAAAAAGGTCTAGCTAAGTGAAAGATGCATGTTACTAGCTTGTGTTTATTTTACCCCATTAATTGTTTTTCTTTTTTTTTAATGGCCTAATTTCTATTAGGTACATGTTATGGAGTCTGTGAGGCCACATTTCCCAAATGAAATTGTATGTAATTTATGTTTTCACCCACTAAAAGTGAGAACAAAATATTTCCAATCCAGATTCACTTTATAGGCTTTTTGCTTGATTCTGTTAATTAATATAATGGTTATAACTTTTAAGTTTCCTATCTAAACAATTAATGAGTTAATGTTAATATTTGTATGGGAATGAAAAGTATTGATAAATTTCATCACTGCCTCTTAGAATACATATATATATTTATTTATTTTTTATTTTTTTTTATTTCAGTCTTTCAGAATTTATGCCTCAAGTGAAGGTGGACCAGGTGGAAACAGTGGAAGGATGCTCACATGAGGTAACATAATGAAATAAAAGCTTAAACTTTGGTGTAACAGCTTCATTTTTCTAAATGTTTTCTGTAACCAACAGGTTGCTCTGCCTGCTGATGAAGAATATAAACCTCTCAAACCAAGAGTGGGAAAAGCAGCTAAGGTATTATAGTTAAGTTTTGTTATTTGATTAGACTTACAATACCATTTTAAAGCAACACTTCTCAATTGTGATGGTTTTTAGCAGTAAGGTATTTAACTCTGCATAAATGGGCTAGTCTATTAAATACCATGGATCACTGTGTTATTTTATAGGCTTATGGGTGAATTGGGATTCATGATTACAGAAAACCTTGTGATTTGATAACAGCAAATATCGACCATATCAGTTTTCATTTGTGTCCTGTGTGAGGATCTCCTGCTGTGAGCTTTTACCCAACATGCTGAATATGACATAATCTTTTAAAATGCAAGTTTGCATATATAAGCCAACGGTTACTGCACTCTACATGTGCTTTGCAGATGTAGTGTGAACTGCCTCATTGGTTTGCAATAACTAATATTGCTTCTTTTCCCCACACTTATGTTTTCCTTGTTCTGCAGGAGTACCCTTTCATACTGGATCCCTTCCAGCGTGAGGCTATCCTGTGTATCGACAACAACCAGTCTGTTCTTGTGTCTGCACACACCTCAGCAGGGAAAACAGTTTGTGCAGAGTACGTATCCTGAATAAATAGCAAAGGGATTCTGTCTGAAATCACTTCACTCATGTTTTTTCAGGCTAACAAATTTCACCATTCTAATGGTTTTCTCTTGCTATTAACAGCGAGTGTTTAACAGTTAGTGAGTGTTTTATGTAGTGATGTTGAGTAAAGACATACTTCCCTGTAAGAGTGAGATTAAGTTAAGCAAGCTTTGAATAGCTTGATCATTCCAAAAGTATTGCTAATTAGAAAAAGTGAATTCAGTGTATTTCATCATGAGGGTCCTTTATTATTTTTTTTAATCAGAGGAAGAAAATTTGATCTGTGCCCATGCATGAAAAAATCAGGGATCTAATTTTTGTGGGATGTGTCTAACTTATTTTCCCCTCCTGTAGGTATGCCATCGCTCTGGCTCTTAGAGAGAAGCAGAGGGTCATCTTCACCAGCCCCATCAAAGCCCTCTCTAACCAGAAATACAGAGAGATGTATGAAGAGTTCCAGGACGTGGGATTGATGACTGGTGATGTTACCATCAACCCTACCGCCTCCTGTCTTGTCATGACAACAGAGGTGAGACCCTCTTCTTAATTTCAGAGTTCTAATCATACACACTAGTCTGCAACAAGCATCTCGCATCACCCCATTACAGCCACTGGGCTTCATATCGCCTTTTCTGAAATATAGGTGGAGACTAAGGTTGTGGCTTTCTTTTGACATGAATATGTTTTCTCTTTTTCTAGATTCTAAGGAGCATGCTGTATCGAGGATCGGAGATCATGAGGGAGGTGGCATGGGTCATCTTTGATGAGATCCATTACATGAGAGATGCAGGTGTGTCCAGAAAACAAGTGTCATTGAAATTCAGGCTGGTGGGATTCAAACACGTTTTACATTATGGTTAATAAGTCACTTAAGTCAGTAGGTTGTAATATTATACTTTAAATGCTTTTCATCTTGGCTAGAAAGTTGTAAAAAAAAAAAAAAAACATCCAAACGCAAACTTTTATACTGCATGTCTATCACAAGGCCCTGTCCTATCTTTTTTTGAAAGCTTTTAGTAACTTTTAATTTTAAGAACAGTCCAAAATAACGCCTTTTTTGTAACTAGAAGTTGGATAAGAACAACAAAACAAAATAGGTACAGCTGATCTATATCTCAAGTCAAACAAGGCTGATTGAAACCTCCCTTTTTATTAAAAGATGCTGTTTTCTTTGGTGCAGCTGTTCAAAGCTGCCTTTGGTGTTAATCTTAGGGGAATAGGATGAAAAGGTGGTTCTTTAATCTCTTTTACTGAGCATATGCCATTTAAAAGAGTGGAGATTATTCCGACCTATTGTTGGGTAATTGTTAACATCTGATATAGCAAATCAGTTTCAGAAAACCAACATTGGACAGGATGGAAATCTTCCACTTTTTATGGTTTTGAAAATGGTCATTGATATAAATTCAGACCGTGGTTCAATTTCCATTCTACTACAGATTTAATATGAGTAAATATTTCTGGTCTGTGGATCAATACAAATAGGAGCTCTTGTTAAAAGAGACAATTTTTTTT